CTACAGAATCAATAGTGCAAACTATTATAACTATAATACTGATAAAAATAATAAAATACTTTTTTATTTTACTAAATAAATCGTCAATCGCTCAAACTCAGTCTCCACCCCAATTACATTAGTGTGCCTTAGTTAGTAAATGTTAATAAACCACGTATAAATTCTCTTTGTTCAATTAGTAAGCTTTATTACTTCACTACAAAATAAAATAGTTAATAAATCGAATTAATTCGCGAAATACCGCCATCTAGCATCGGTTTGCATCTTGTCATATTTTGATAGGTGAAAATGGTATGGTAACTCCGTCTGCGCTAACGGGATACGCTGGCGGAGCACCAGTGAAGGGTGATAGATGAGAATGAAAACAGGCCAGTTAGCCCATCATGATGAATTCATCAGGAATTAACCATGATAGTTTCCAGGGGGAACCGCGAGGAGGTCGACCTGGTTGGGTATATTGCTAGCAATAGGATTCTCAGTCTCCATTACTAACAATCCCTGGCGCAGGAGGGGTTACCATTCCATTCCCCCCCCACCACCCCCCGCCCCAAAAAAAAAACACCTTACCAAATAGATCTCCATGCAGTTCTCTCTGGGACTATCGTGCTTAATAATAATACTGAATTCGTTACGATGGCGTAACTGTTCATCTTTCATGCTCACCTATCATCCCTTAATGGTGCCCCGTCAGCGTTTACTAATAGTGCAGGCTACCATTCTATTATCATGCATTAATATTACAATATATTATAATATAATATATTAATATTATCATGCATTTACCAGAGGGAGACTTTGTACAAAAGTCAATTGCTTGGGTACCTCTGTCCCAATCGTGTTTCAACCGTGAAGCAGTTGTGTTTGCATAGCTGTGTTTCGGTTTGAAGGGTGGGATATGGCGTGAATTTACAGGGTACAGAGGAATAACACCTGAGTCCTCAGGAATAGCAACGCATGGGAGGTATCATGGGCGCAACAGTATACTCCGTTATGTCCATGGTACTGCTCATGTCTATAGGCGACGGTTACCACTTTCCATCAGGTGGGCCGTTAGCTTGTTTGCCATTCTAAGTTGTATAAAAAAGAAAATCCCGATGGACAGATAATATAGTGATGATAGCGGAGAAGCAATCAATAATGTTAGTATGACCACGACTAGGCTATGCCCAGCACTGAGTCGATGTGTGATGTTTTTGATTTAGCTGTACTTTTTTGGAGCTAAGTCACGAGACGCCACAATCAATTTTTCAATCCCACGTTAGTTCTTTTTTTTTACGACACAGTAGGCAAACGAGCATGCGGCTCACCTGATGGTAAGTGATTACCGCCGCCCATGATCACCCACAACACCAACGGCATTGCAGGTGTGCTGCCGGCCTTTTAAAAAGGAATATACTCTTTTCTTGAAGGTTATGTTATCGTATCGGTTCGGAAATACTGCTGCTGGAAGTTAGTTCCAAAGAATGGTTGTGTGTGGAAGAAAGTGCCTTGAAAAATGCACGGTGGAAGACCGCCACTCGTCCAGATGATTGGGATGGAACTTTAGTTTGTGTCGGTTTACGGTGGTGAAAATCAGCAGCAGGTATCAATCCGAACAATTCCTCAGAACACTCCCCATGATAAATTCGGTAGAAGATGCACAGAGATGCAACATCTCTGCGCAGTTTCAGTGGGTCAAGTCGGACAGTAAGGCGTTGACTATCGATAATTCAAGTCGCCCGACTTTGAATGCGGTCTAGCGGAAGGAGTTGGTACTGTGGCGCTCCTGCCCATAGGTGAGAACAGTATTCCATATGTGGCCTGATTTAAGTTTCTAGCAATTTCAATAGAATTATTTTGTTTAATTCCGCTAACATTAGTATGCTTGTGACTGCCAAACTTCGAAGATCCGGGGAAAGGGGGATTGTTAGCAATAGAGTTTGACATCCCCATTGTTAGCAATATGCCCTATTAGATAAACCTCCACGTGGTTCTCCCTGGAAACCATCGTGAACAATTCTTGTTAAATTCGTCACGATAGGCTAACTGACCTTCTTCATCTTCACCTATCATCCTTCACTGGTGCCTCGCCAATTATCATCCATTAAAATAAAAACTTATCCTTATATATATATATATATATATATATATATATATATATATATATATATATATATATATATATATATTTATTTATTTATTTACACTTTATTGCACCAAGTAAAAAGAGAAATAACAAATACAGTAAATATTAATGAGAAGTGATACAAAAGGCGGCCTTATCGCTAAGCAATCTCTTCCAGACAACCTTTGGGTAGAGGACATTGAGAAAAAGACAAAGAGTAGGTGGCGCACTATTATATAAATATTATCATATACAAACATATATAGATACATACATACATATATACACATACATATATAATATATACACAATTAAATATATACATAACATACATACATACATACACATACATATATAATATATACACATTTTTTTTTTATGCAACTTAGAATGACAAACAAGCTGACGGCCCACCTGATGGAAAGTGGTAACCGTCGCCTTTAGACATGAGCAGTACCATGGACATAACAGAGTGTACTGTTTGTTTATAGATGAGGAAACAAATAAATGTTTATTTCTTCTGCAAAGTAGTTAATTAACCCGTAAAGTTTTACACCAAGGGTTGTAATAAGGCAATTAGTATTAAGTACTGAGTTTGAAGTAAAAATTCCTCTGCACATAAAATTTAACAAGAACATTCTTACTAAATGATATCAATTTAATTTAATTTTATTCCGGGGTTACTTTGCCTAAAGTTATATAAATTCATCTTTGTATTTACCTAGGTGTTTATATGCATATATATATGTATGTGTATATACTTTGGTGCCTTGGAAGAGGGGGCGCTGTTTGATATGGGACGCGACTTGCGTGACCACGTTTGCTGTCTCATCTGCGGGATACGACTCGTGTGGTTGGTTCGGCTGCGGAAACTGCGGCTAGAATTAAACATTCAAAATATAAGATTCTCGAACCAGCTTACATCTTCGTTCCCGTTGCTTTTGAGACTACGGGCGTGTGGGGAGCGGAAGCAAAATCCTTCATAAGAGAGTTGAGTCTGCGCATTGCGGATAGGGGCCATGATCGCCGTTCTGGTTCGTATCTGGCTCAAAGGATATCTCTGGACGCGCGGAATCCAACGCGGAAATGCCGCAAGTGTCAAGGGGACCTTTGGGTCGGGTGCGGACCATGAATGGGACTGATCATTAATTTAATTTTTTTTTGTGATTCTATGAAATGTATTAGTTTTATATATATATATATATATATATATAATATATATATATATATATATATATATATATATATATATATATATATATATATATATATATATATATATATATATATCCTGTTTTTTTTTCAGGATGATTTTAGGAACAAAAATATTAACGGGTTTCATAGTTTACATAAAAATAAAAAAAATTATGATTTGTACCACAGAAATCATTATTTTTTCAGAAACCAGCAGAAAATACAACGACAGACAGAAAACCAGAAAACCAGCTTCAGTAGTGATAAAATTATCATATGGGTAAACTAGGAAGTAAACTTCGTCGATCACAAAAAGAATTATCGAAGTTTTATTTAATAGATTTTAACATATACAACAAAATAAACAATTAAGCAGTTTTCCTTATTTAAAAATTCCTTAAATATTTTATTAACCTAAGAAAGAGATCTATCCAAAATCTTTAAAATACATAATAAATAAAAAGAATCTATTTTTAGAGTTCCGTACAAAATAGGTACAAAGGGACCCTTATAACGCGAATTTGTCTCTATGTGTGTGCAATGCTTAAATTTAGAACACATTTACATATTATTGGTCCACATATCATCATCATCATCATCATCATCATCATCCCAGCCATTATCTGTCCACTAAACATATGCCTCCCCCATAGACTGCATTATAATAATATGAATAAATGAATAAAATAAAATAAATATTTACAAATTTATGTACGGAACCCTGTTCATGTAATTTGAACTCTAACCTCACTGGTATTTTTTTATAAAATGAATTACATCAACTGTAATCAGGGAAAGGGTAGCAATCTAAAAAATGAGTTTGAATAATTACTTAAAACCTTTTTTTTGTAATATTCAATATAAAAATGTTTTAACTGGAGTGTTTACTGATTGAAAGATGGTTACTACATTAATTTTCTATCGGTAAACACTGAAATATAATTGCCATTTCTTTTAAAGGAACTGCTTAAACCTCACAGAGTGAATAATCATTAACTTATTTAAGAATCGTAACTGATTTTATATAAAAGACTAACTTTTTACCGGCTTTACTTCGCATGCAACGATTTTAGAAATAGGAAAGTCACAAAGTCAGATTTTAGAAATAGGAATGTCACTTCCAAATTTTTTGATGCAAATTTAATTTAGAATGGTAAACAAGCTGACGGCCCGCCTAATGGAAAGTAGTAACCATCGCCTAAAAACTTGAGCATGTACCATGGATATAACAGAGTATACTGCTTTATCGATGCGTCCATGCGTACCATCTCTGAGGACTAAGGTACTATTCCTCTGTACCCTGTAAATTCTCTACCATACCCCACCCTTCAAACCGAAACACAGCCATGTAAACGCAGCTGCTTCACGGTAGAAACACTAATGGGACAGAGGTATCCAAGCAAACGACTTTTGTACAAAATCTCCCACTGGTAATTCATGTAATTCTTATTGCTCTACATTTACCATAAATGTTGCTAAACTGTTAGTTTATAATTGTAAATTAAAATTTAAATTAAAGTTTAAAGATAAGTTTATTAAATGGTACCTCAGGGGGAACATCCATTATGTAATATCGTCATAGTCGTAGAATACTGACGGATCTGACAAATATTACATATAAAGATCCATCAGTATTCTACGACTGTGACGATATAATTAATTATGTCATTTATTATTTCTTTAATTAAAAAAAAAAACTAAATGAATAAACAAAAGCTTTATTTCATAATTTCAATATTGGCACTCTTTTCAATTGTCTTTCAATTTGTTTAACACTTTTATCTTTGATATTAGGTATTCCGAATAACGTGTACACCCCAGCAAAAAGGTTTATACATGCAAATAAATAGAATACAGTGTAAATTCCCATGTATTCTTCGATGTATTTGAAGGAGTGTATGTGGGCCAGTTTTATTATTTGTGAATACGTATATAGTAATCCTAGCAGTTTGGCGCGGATCTGAAAACAAAATATAAAATATCATAAGTGAATATAATATATTAGATTAAAAATCTTGTATAGTGTATTTTTTTAACAACAGGAAAGTGGTAACCATCATCTACAGACATGAACAGTACCATGATTATAGCGGCTTTAATAGAGTATACTGTGTCACCCATGATATCCCTCATGCGTTGCCATTTCTGAGGAATAAAATGTTTTTCCTCTGTAGCCTTACCCTTTAAAGTGTAACACGACCATGCAAACAGAACTGATTTATGACAGAAACACGAATAGGACAGAAGTACCCAAACAGGCGACAAGTAATAAATAACCCAGCAATCTTTTTTACCCTCTACTGGGCATGTATAATATTAGTACTGCCCCAATATCTATATTATTATTGGGTTTGTCTGAATATTAATAGAGGAAAAAAGTTAGTCATTCATTCCTATATTACCAATTGCGGTCATATATCTATGATATAGTAATTTTAATCGGGTTCTATGTTTTGATATTAAATAACTGACTACTAGACACTCAGACACTAGACACTCAGACACTATACACTCAGTCACTAGACACTTAGACACTAGACACTCAGACACTAGACACTCAGACACTAGACACTCAGACACTAGACAATCAGACACTAGACACTCAGACACTAGACACTCACACACTAGACACTCAGACACCAGATAATTAGTCACTTGACACTCAGGCACTAGACGCGCTGATACTAGACACTCAGACACTAGACACTCACACACTCAGACACACAGTCTCTAGACACTTAAATACTAGACACTCAGTCATTAGACACTCACACACTACACACTAGACAGTCACACACTAGACACACAGACACTAGACACATAGACACACTGATACTAGACACTCAGACACATAGAGACACTGACGCTGGACACTCAGGCACTAGACACTCAAACACTAGTCAGTCAGACACTAGACATTCACACACTAGACACTCAGACATCAGATATTTAGACACTTGACACTCAGACACTAGACACTGACTAATATATAATTAATCCATTTATAGCTCAACATATAGATATTGTAACCACAATATATACATATACTATACATAACCCATATCTACCCTCTACCGCCATGTACCGAACTCATTAGGTTTTATCGCTTTAAAAATTATCTTATCTCTTAAATAGGAACATATAATCCGAGTACACAGCTACAAAAATTTTATCACAGCTAGCTGAGCGGGAACCTTTATGCGGATCCTCTGGTTAATTCTTGATTAATACAATACGATAGACAAAAAGCCGTGTGGTTCCGGCATAAATTGGACCACCACTACCTTTCCCGTGAGTGTCACAAGAGGCGATAAAGGGAACCTAATGGTCGACGAATAGGCACTAGCGTCCTTCTAAATACATCACTAAAGTTTAACTGTGGCTGCCAACTCGCCTGACAAATCTTGCAATTGTTGTAAAACCCCCTCTTATAGGAGAAGTCTATGTTCAACAGTGGGCAGTTAATGGCTTATATAATAATAAAAAAGGCGGTTACCGTTCTATTTTCATCTATTTATGAATCTACCTTATTACTATTGTACGTTTTGCATAAGATGGAATGATGACATCGGGGAAGTGGCTGGAGTAACATGGAGACAGAGTGGATCAAGAAAGACGAGAATGAAAACGGTTGGAGGAGGCCTTTGCTGATTGGCAAACAGATTTACAGAAAATAAGCAAGAAGCAATTATTAGAATAAGTTATTTAGTTTTATTAAGTTTTTCTAAAGTTTAATATTTGTTTTAATGCAGTGTTAAGTTGATAGATTTTTTTTTGATGGGTGAAAATGGTATGGTAACCCCGCCTGCGCTAACGGGATACGCTGGCGAAGCACCAGTGAAGGGTGATAAATGAGAATGAAAACAGGCCAGTTAGCCCTTCATGATGAATTCATTAAAAATTAACCATGATAGTTTCCAGAGAGAACCGCGAGGAGGTCGATCTGGTTGGGTATATTGCTAGTAATAGGATTCTCAATCTCCATTACTAACAATCTCTTTCCCCCTTAGTTGATAGATATTATTTAAAGTATTATTTAGTGTTAAGTTGATATATATAAGATACGCACCTCAAAATTGTACATTTCCACCATGATGATTATGGGTAGACCCCATGCCAAACCGTAACCTATAACCAAGACACCCAGGGCAACCACTGGCAACCAGTGTAGCGACCTGACAGTCAGTTCCGTTTGTGTGTACACTCCCAAGACACCCATGGACAAAACCATAATCGCATATCCAAAGGTCAGTAGATACTGAAATTTATAATAATTAAATGTAAATATTTTATAATTTTAGACAAAGAATTAAAGTACCTTATAATAAAATGTCAAGAATCGAAGAAAACTAAATTATTGTATTGTAACTGAGGAAGAATAGAGAATAATTTAAGATTGCATTCCATAAAAATAAACCGACTTCAATTATGGCAAAACCAGTAAATTGAATTTATAAATTAAACTACTGAAAAGATTTTAACAATATTTTTTTTTTACTACACAGGGGGCACACGTGCATGCGGCTCATTTGATGGTAAGTGATTACCGCCGCCCATGATCACCCACAACACCAGTGGCATTGCAGGTGTGCTGCCGGCCTTTTAAAAAGGAATATACTTTTTTCTTGAAGGTTATGTTGTTGTATCGGTTCGAAAATACTGCTGCTGGAAGTTGATTCCAAAGAATGGTTGTGCGTGAAAGAAAGCGCCTTGAAAAACGCACGGTGGAAGACCGCCACTCGTCCAGATGATTGGGATGAAACTTTAGTTTGTGGCGGGTTGTACGGTGGTGAAAATCAGCAGCAGGTATCAATCCGAACAATTCCTCAGAACACTCCCCATGATAAATTCGGTAGAAGATGCACAGAGATGCAACATCTCAGTGTTCATCAACAGTTTCAGTAGATCAAGTCGGACAGTAAACAAAATTTCAATACAACCAATTTGTAAGTACATTATTACTTGAAATAAAGAATTTTCATCACCTTTCTGTCAATAAATTTGACCATCGACAAACAGAGCAAGCTGCCTCCACACAGGCTAGCTACGACGAGCACTTTCTCGGGATCCATGTCCATTTTCAGTTGTAATAAAACTTTATCTTGGTCCAGAAATACAATACTTCCACATATCACGTGTATGGTGTAAAGAACAAAACCAATCTTTGTCGCATCCCACCAGATTCTGTTTCTTACTGCAAATAAAATTAAATGTTATCATTAATCATAATTTCAGACATTATCCGTCCACTGCTGGATTATAAGCCTCCTCCATAGATTGCCATAAAGAACGGTCCTGAGCCACCTGCATCTACTGACTCCCTGCAACGCATTTCAAGTCGTCACTCCATCTAGTGAGGGTCGTCCTACACTATGTTTACCCGTACATGGACGCCGTTAAATATATAAAACAAAAAATAAATGTAGTGGATTATGTTTCACAAAACATAAACCATATCCATCTTTATCCCCTCCCCTTATTCATAAAAACGTCAAACCTCTTGTAAACTCGTATATTAGCTATTGATCTATTTTGTCTCTTTCTTTGGTGCTAAATTCCTAATTTGAAAGAAAGGGACAAAACAGTGTAATACTTAAAATATGTTTGTAGGAGATTTTAGTTTTTATGAATAATATAAAACAGAAAATAAAACAAGATTAAGTTCCTCAATAAAACCGACTACAATAGTAGTAACTAGTACTTTGATTTAAAAACTAAACTCAAACCAAATCAAAAGTACGCCTTTTCTGATAAATAAAAAATGACCCAAATAAATTTATAAATGATAGATAGATAGATAAATTATTTATTTACATCATTAACAGCACACAAACAATAATAGACATAAATGCATGTGCAAATGCAAACGACAAAATTCGGAAGTAACAAGTATAAAAAAATAAAAGCATATTGAGAACCTCCTCTTATTTGAAGTCGGTTGAAAATACTGAGCACTCTGAATGGCATGAGTAATAGCGGTATCTCCATAATACCTATATATTTGTTTTCTTTAGACATTGAGGGCGTAAAAAAGGTCATCACTCAATTCGATATCGCCCATACCAGTTTGACATTTATGTTCATTTAAATAAGGTTATTTATTTTGTTATTATATATTATAAACATGATATTTAGTATACCCGATATTTGCTCAATATATAGATATTGTAACTGAAATATATAGATATAAGTATATATTATCTACCCTCACTCTAAATCGTTAATGAATCTAAAGGTTGTTATTGAGGAGGCCATTGTGGTAAATATAGCATTCAACATGGGCACAGTTCGCTGAGCATATTAGAACCCTACATGGCAAAAGATGAGATTATAGTCATCACCCGGATTGATTTGGTTTGTTAACAATGTTTACAGACATAAAATTAGTAGGAAATTGAAATTAATATAATATTTTGTTGGCAATTTCAATATTAAAACTCTTAAAGTTTAGGATCGATAAGTTAAATAGACCACAACGCTAACAAGATTTTGGTTTTTACACAATTTTAATTCGTTTGACACGAATTTTGTTCACTTCGCATGATTTTAGTTCATTTTGTACGACTTCATTTTGTTTCGCACGATTTTAGTTAATTTCACACAACTTTAGTTCACTTCGCGCGATTTTAGTTCATTACATATGACTTTAGGTCGATTTTAGTTCTTTTCGTACGACTTCAATTCACTTTGCGCGCTTTTGGTCCATTTCACACGATTTTAGTTAACTTCGCGCGATTTCAGTTCATTTCGTACGACTTCAATTAACTTTGCATGATTTTAGTTCATTGGCACGACTTCAGTTTAATCCGCAAAATTTTAGCTCATTTGGTATGAATTTAGTTTAATTCGTACAATTTTAGTTCATTTGTTAGGACTTTAGTTCGACTCGCACGATTTTCGTTCATTTTACACGAGTGTAGATCATTATATATAATTTTTTAATTTCATGATGTTTGTTCGTTTTAAATAATTTTATTTTCTCGTCAATAAAATAATATTATTGAAAAAATATAAATTTAGCCTATTTCATATAAATTATGAGACTGAAAAGGTTCCGATCAGAATTCATACAATGGAACCTTTGCGGGGGAGTATATAGGTTTGAGCGCATTGTAGAAATCGTATTATTATTTAAGTGGGTGTTAAGCTTCGGCGTGGGAGGAACAATTTGAACAATGTTGGATAAATAAGTGTAAACCAAATGTAAAACCATCGTCCAATAAAAAAATTACATTCTCCTCAAGAATAAAAGGAAAGGAACGAGATAGCCCATTTCGTGTTGTGCCATGATCGGAACCAGACAGTGAATAATACCGGTATGTATTTATATAATATAACCAAAACGAAAATAGTTGATTCCACTCTTTCTTCTATTTATGTTTCATCTTCATCATCACTTCAGCCATTATCTGTTCACATGCTGAACATAAGTCTCCCCCATAGACTGCCATAAGGAACGGCCTTGAACCATCTGCAACCACTGATACCGTGCAATGCATTTGAGATCGTCACTTCATCTATTGGAGTATCGTCCTACACTGCGTTAGCCCGTACAGAATCGTTACTCAAGAACTTTTCTTCCCCATCGGTTGTCGGTTCATCGAGCTATGTGACCAGCTCATTGCCACTTCAGCTCACTTTCTTCTATATTATCTAGCTAACTGTCCTCCTACTTACTGATAATTATTTTTCATGACTAAATATTCTAAATGAGTGTTCGCTCCACATAATTTTGTCATTATCTCTTAGTGTTATTCACGAAATACAGAAAAGAGCAAAATTCAAGTCTCTATGATGAATATTATCATCAAAATTTTTATGAACAAACACAAACGTGACTTTTCAAAGGAACTCCAAGATATTTCCGTAATTAGAATACCTACCACAAAATTGTAATTTTCATGTCCCTTATGGATCAACCGTTGATTAATATCTTTTTCAAAAGGCAAGAACTCTACAAAGGCAGCCACGGAATTAACTCGAGAGAAAAATGCTGTACGCAAATAGGTTTTTGCCAATTTATTTACGAATGAACATTAATATGATACATGATAAACTCAAAATATATGGTAACTAAAAAACAGTACTGATAAAAGAGCATCCAGGGAAATTGTGCTTTCATTTCTAATGATCCAGAGACTTAAACGATATATTATATAAATGTAAAAATATGGCACAGAGATTTATGAATATATAAACGATATCTATTTAACGATTTCACTGATTAAGTTTTTTTTTTTTTTTATTTTATATTGAGAATAGTTTTACATATACTTTTTATGAGAAGTGTTTTTTTTCTCGATATATCTATTATTTTTGCCAAATAATCCACAAACAAATACAAATATTGTTTGTTAACTTGGGAATTTGAATCTCAAGTTTCATTTCTACTTTGGAATACTGTAGTACAAAATATTTCATTTATTATGTCGTCTTTAAGAACCTCTCTTTTAGAATTTGAACTTTCTTTTCAAACTTGGAACTAAAACTTTAGACTATTAAAACTTTATTGCAATAGTGAGTAGTTTAGTTCAACTCGAGCAGGATTATAATTTTGATTTAAATTAAAAATAAACTTACGAATTTGAAGTAAACTCAGTTTTCCATTTGCTCTCACTCTATCCCTTTCATCTCTCAAATGAATTACTTCGTTTGATAATGCAGGATTTTCATACGATAAGCACCTTAATTTTGATATCGCTTCTGTCGCAGACTGAAAATTGAGGGTTTTATTAATATAAAGACGTGCAGCGTAAGATAATAAGAGAGAAAGATAGCCAAGCTCTATTCAAAAGTATAGGCACTTTCTGGCGACTTTACGTGTTCCATAAAGGCTTTTGACCATGATAGAGACAATAGTTTTACAATTCTATGTTACGTAATTACGGTCTAGCTAATAATTTCTCGAATAACGATATCACCAGTATCCCTTATTTTTTTTTATTTCTTAATGATTTATTACAATTGTACAAACATAAACTTATATAATACTTTGGAACGAACTGTAGTTCTTTCTTTCACTAGTTTTTCGATTCCTTTACCAGGATTGTCATCTACATGAATTATACTATCAAATGCATCAAAATTTTCATTCCTATCTCCAGGACTTTATCAAATACTCAATTGATATCATCATTTTTATATAATATCGTAACAACACTCAGGTTATGGAATGAGCTCCCTGCCGAGGTTTTCCCAAGAGACTATAGCATGGGGTTCTTCAAAAGGGGGTAAAGAGGTTTCTTCAGGGTCGGCAACGCGCGCGTAATACCTCTGGTATTGCAGGCGTTCATAGGCTACGGTAACCGCTTACCATCAGGTGGGCCGTATGCTTGTTTGCCACCTCAGTGGTATAAAAAAAAACCTCTCACAGTCCATTAATGTAGCAACAAGATCTTTAAATAACTTAAATTTTTCTATATTTCAATCAAATAGTTTGAAAATTGTACCATTGCCATTATCAACCTAATTTGCAACAATGTTATATACAATACGTATGATATCATTAAATACATTTGAACCTTTGTCAGCAGCGTCACTAAATTGTCAGTTCTCAATTCCATTATTATCATGCTACTATCATATCCGTTCTATTTATTGAGCTATTTTCTATATGTATCATGAAAAGCATCATAATTTTTTTCCTGTTTATTTCCAATCAGCACATTATGGTTTTTCTTATCATTCTGTACCCACATAATCCATCTTTCTTTCTAATTAATCACCATGTATCCCGCCACAAGTTTACCGATACGACAACATAACTTTCAAGAAAAGAGCATATTCCTTTTTAAAAGGCCGGCAGCACACCTGCTATGCCGTTGGTGTTGTGGGTAATCTTGGGCGGCGATAGTCACTTACCATCAGGTGAGCCGCATGCTTGTTTGCCCCCTGTGTTGTAAAAAAAAGCTAAAATTTCATTCCGGCCATTTAAATGAGTGACGGTCCTTCACCTTGCATGTTTTTCGACGTTTTTTTCGTAGCATAACTAAAATAGGAAACAAACTCCCACCAACAGTATCTTCGAACAGATAGGATATTAATCCTTAAAAAAAATGCATATTCCTCCTTAAAAAGTCGGCAATATACCTGCAATTTCTCTGATGTTGCATGTCTCGTTTGTCCCCATGTTTAAAAAATTTCTCAGTATTATTTAGATTGACTTACCTCCATTTTCCCAACCATCACTAAATAGCTCGGTGATTCCACCATCACTACCATTAACACGAATTGTACTATCAAAAGGGCTGTCATCGAATACATCAACGTTTCAACCCCTGTCACCAACTTCATCAAATACCCAGCTGTTGTCATCACCATCATCAATGATATCGTCACTCCTCTTATATTTGTCGAACTAATTTCTCTTACATAAATTGGTAGGACAGTAAATAGTCCCCCGGATGAGATTCCAGCAAATATATGTAATATTAACATATTTATATCCTTCGGTGGTAAAAATAGTGGTACAAGTGAAGCCTGTAATAATACAAAATTTGTTAGTAATATTTTTATAATGTTAATCATAAGAGATGGCTAGAAGAACAAAGAACAAGACAAGGCAAAAAAACGAATAGAAATCGGAATAATACACTTTATAATAGCATAGTAATAATAAGTTAACGAGATCCTCTTTTAGTTAAGACCACAATTTTGGATTAATAAAATATGGAAGCTTTAAGAAAAACATGTTTTATTTACTAAAAAGGGAGAGAACCCTCCTACGTAGCGGGTCCTCATAAGATACGGTAGACATTTACCATCAGGTGACCAGTATGAGTTATATTATGTGATATAAAATAAGAATCTTTTGCTTATATTATAAATGTAAAAGCAAATTTGTTACCTCATGGCGTTTTAACAGCTTAACTACCAGAGGGAGAATTTGTACAAAAGTCGATTGCTTGGGTCGACCTCTGTCCCATTCGTGTTTCAACCGTGAAGCAGTTGTGTTTGCATAGCTGTGTTTCGGTTTGAAGGGTGGGATATGGCGTGAAATTACTGGATACGGAGGAATAACACCTGAGTCCTCAGGAATGGCATCGCATGGGAGGTATTATGGACGAAACAGTATACTCTGTTATGTCCATGGTACTGCACATATCTATAGACGACGGTTACCACTTTCCATCAGGTGGACCGTCAGCTTGTTTGCCATTCTAAGTTGTATAAAAAAAAAACAGCTTAAATAATTATTATGAAATTGAGTATACACGTAATATATTGGAAGTCCGGTCACTGTACATTATCCAGTTATGTAGACAATGTCGTGGATAAAACCTTGTAAAATTAAAAAAAAAATACTCACACCCTGCATTAGGCTGATGATAAATATCCCAATCTTTCTTCCAAACTTATCAATAACATAACAGTACACAGGAGCAGATATGCCAGCTGCTATTAACATAGCTGTGGCGTTCCATGGCTCGTCATCAGGTGAGGTGATAAAGTGGCCTGCGTGTGCTGATGTTGAAAGTATTGTGGTTTCAACACCATGGGTGAAGAATGGAATGCTGGCTGAAATAAAAATAATAAGATATTGTTCCACAAGAGTAGAATAAATTTGTACTAAATGAGTTTGCAACTAATACAAGAGTAAACTGTGTAATAATATAGAAATATTCCATCTCTCTCTATTATATCTCTCTCCTGTTGTAATGTAGAAATTTTAATCTCTCTGTATTATATCTCTATATTTGTTTATGTATACATATATATCTGTGTATATATATATATATATATATATATATATATATATATATATATATATATATTCACGGTTACACACGAATGGGACATATTTTTGTACAAAGTCTCCATCTGGTAAAATACTCTAGTATATAGAATGTCGCCAATGAGGTTCTGTGATAGACTAAGCAACAGCAACAAAAAGGTTATTGTCCATCATAAAAAAGCGAAAATCTTCATATCTTTTTCATATACTGAGACGCGATAAATACCAACTGCTACAGATATTTATGAAGGGTAAAGTTGTTGACAAGAGACGAATTGGTCTCAGAAAGAGTCTTGGCTTCGCTACAACTGGGAGAAGACGGGCTTTACGAGTGCAGCCGAATTATTCCATCTCGCAAGGATCATTTATAGATGCCGTAAGCTAATATCCAACCACTACTAGTTTAAGAAGCACTATTAGAAGAAGACTATATCTACATTGCTCTATGCACTTGGTGGCAGAAACATGAATAGGACCCTTGTCCTTCTTATGTTCGAACGATTTTTCTACACTCCTTTTAAAACTTTTATCATATCGCTGTTAACTGCTCATTGTTTAACATAGGCCTCCCCTTAGAGGAGGGAAAGTATTTGTCAGTAGCTTGCCATGCTTGGCAGATGAGTTGGCAACCGCAGTTAGGCTTTGGTGATGTTTTAAGAGAGACGCTGCCGCCCTCCCACAGGAAAGGAAGTGGTGGCCCATTCTATGTCCTAATCACATGGCGAACTTAACTTTATATCTTTACTCATGTTAGAAAACAAAATGTAAACGATATTTGTCAGTATAGGGGCTAACATAAGAATCTTTTTAGCATGTAACCTATTCTGTTACATCATCTAATTGCAAAATTTTATTCTAAAAGGATATCAAATCTTGAAACATCTATTATTCTAAAAATAATCTTATTTTAATATCAGTTAAATGTATCAAATTTAATACTTTAATATTAAACATTTCAAAAATACCTTTCCAGACATCATGCTCTTGTTTAAGGAATTTAATAAACTATTTTATTAGTAAAACTGTATTCCTAAGGGGGGTAGACGTTAGGCAGGTGGCCGGTTGTAAACTAAAAGCCAAAACCTTGGGTAATATGGATAAAAACATATAATACCGCCCTAAAATTTATATCATATATATATTTATATTATATATGTATATAGGTAATATGGATAAAAACATATTATTTGAATCACCGCCATAAAATGGGAGACATGCGTCATATTATATATAAAGTGGTAAGATCTAACTTAATACATACTATATATATATATATATATATATATATATATATATATATATATATATATATATATATATATATATTATATATGATATATATATATTCATTCATTCATTTATTTATTGCTATTACATGTTGTAAGAATCTAAAAGTATAGAATCTGAACCCTAATACATTAATAAATATTATATAAACTTGTTTTTACATTATATATATGTATCATCGAGTTCTTATCATTATTAAATTATTAACAATCTCTCAAGATCAAGTTGTCAGAGAATATAAACCATTCATTCATTCATTCATACTCATTAATTCCTCTCTTTCCGTGACTACAAAAAGTAAATTTTTATTTTAAAAATAATTTCAAGGTACAATAGGATATACTTGAAGAAGGTAAAAGTTAAAAAATAAAAATAACCGTGACATTATTTGCATTGTGGATGTTCAAATTCGATCGTGTAACAAACAACACTTTTTCACTTCTCTTACATTCACCACTTCTCTCGCAGACCAGTATCACTGTGAAAGTAATAGAGTACTATATAATATAATATTTATTTTTTTAAGAAAGATACAGTTGCATAAGGTACAATTTACAATTTTTACAATTTATATACAACGAGGAAATATCTGCATTACCATCAGTCCCCAAACTAGGCCAGAACTGTATCTTGGGGACTAAAACTTCTCTTACATTCACCGTGTCTCTCGCAGACCAGTATCACTGTGAAAGTAATAGAGTACTATATAATATAATATTTATTTTTTTAAGAAAGATACAGTTGCATAAGGTACAATTTACAATTTTTACAATTTATATACAACGAGGAAATATCTGCATTACCATCAGTCCCCAAACTAGGCCAGACCTGTATCTTGGGGACTAAAACTTCTCTTACATTCACCGTCTCTCTCGCAGACCAGTATCACTGTGAAAGTAATAGAGTTCTGTTACTTATTATGAAACAGTAGTTTCATTTAATACTTGCGTTAATATAACTAATTCACATTGAAGTAGATGTACGAGTTTCGCAGACCCTGTCGTTAGGAACTGCTCAAGTCGTTGGATAGTTAATTGTACGACTCTTTGCCCAATTCGGTTCAATTGAGAGCACTCAACAGGATAGTACGCTCTTGTTGGCCAATATCCGCAGATTATTCGTATGTAGAACTGACTTCCTTCAATTACTTTTATACAACTTAGAAATGCAAACAAGCTGACGGCCCACCTGATGGAAAGTGGTAACCGTCGCCTATAGACAGTACACTGTTTCGCCCATTATACCCCCCATGTGTTGCCATTCCTGAGGACTCAGATGTTATTCCTCTGTACCGTGTAAATTCACGCCAAATCCCACCCTTCAAATTGAAACACAGCCATGCAAACACATTTGCTTCACGGTTGAAACACGAATGGGACAGAGAGGTACCCAAGCAATCGACTTTTGTACAAAGTCTCCTTCAATTCTAAGCTGAATATTGTTTTAAAGTCATGTGATACATCTATGTTACATGATATATATCCGAGATCAGCACTTACTTAATACTATATATGTATTACATATACAAAATATTATACATACAAAATGGTCGTGTAGTTCCGGCACGGAATAGGCCACCCCTTCCTCTCCCGTGGGTGTCGTAAGAGACGACTAAGTGAGAGCAAGGGGTAGGCAGCAGCGTCCCTTTTAAAATATCTCTAAAGCTTAACTGCCGTTGCCAATCCGCCTGCCAAGCGTGGCAACAACTGGCAAAACCCCCCAAGGGGGAGATTTATATTCAGCAGTGGATAATTAAAGGCTGATATTAAAGTGATAATACAGATATAAAAACAACTAGAAACGTGTTATCCTTATTAAAATTACAAATGTAACGTGAGTTTATTTGTTTGTTACAAAATATGGCGTACAGGTAATAAGATATTGCTATTTTTAAACAATAGTTAAATTTTAAAATTATAAAAATTTCATCAGATAGAATAACACTAGTTAAATATTGTGCCTCAAAAAAAAATCGACTTCGATCGTGAGAAACCCAGTTATTTTTATTTAAAAACTAATCTACTTAAATATCGATTCTGATAAAACCTTTACGATCTATCGATTTTGAGAAAACCTTTACGAAACCAATCTCTAAATATCTCCTTTCAGATAAAAAAGACATGTTTCCAAATCAGTCTAGAACTGATAGAGTTATAGGCAATAAAAAAAACTGAATTGATAACCTCCTTCTGTTTTAAAGTCGGTTGCAAACAAAAAGAGCGGTTTCAGAGATGCTTTCTCCCACGAACACTCAGGTTATGGAATGAGCTCCCTGCCGAGGTTTTCCCAAGAGACTACAGCATGGGATTCTTCAAAAGGGGGGTAAAGAGGTTTCTTCAGGGTCGGCAACGCGCGCGTAGTACCTCTGGTATTGCAGGCGTTCATAGGCTACGGTAACCGCTTACCATCAGGTAGGCCGTATGCTTGTTTGCCACCTCAGTGGTATAAAAAAAAAGAAAACAAGTCAGTGAACACATCCTGGTCACGCAAACAAAGTCGCCGATAAAAGCTAGTGCTTAAATACTCAATTAGTAATTTAAAATTAGCAATTTGTATGAAGGTCGTCGATTCAATGGAAAGAATTAAAATTAATCCGTTTACAAATGTCTGGCTGCTAACTGGATTTAATGACGTCATAAGTTTTACAGCGTTTTTAATACAATATCTCACTAATTGTAATTGTTACTTCACTAATGTTGTTGAAACTAACAATATTTTTGAACTAACTTCAAAAAGAAGGTTTTCAAACTGACTTCTTTTCTTTTATACAACTTAGAATGGCGAACAAGCTGACGGCTCACCTAATTGAAAGTGGTAACCGTCGTCTATAGACATGAGCTGTACCGTGGACATAACAGAGTATACTGTTTCACCCATGATACCCCCCATGCGTTGCTATTCCTGAGGACTCAGATGTTATTGCTCTGTAGCCTGTTAATTCACTGCCAGTTCCCACCCTTCAAACCGAAACACAGCCATGCAAACACAACTGCTTCACGGTAGAAACACGAATAGGACAGAGGTGCCCAAGCAATCGACTTTTGTACAAAGTCGATAGAGTTTTTGTATCATTGACACTTCTGCGTATTATTAGAGTGTAACTTGATAAATAAATTAAAATTAGATTTTAATTATAGCATAAGGCTGCCTACCTTTCTTTATCAACCTTGAAATTATATTATTTAACATGGCAAGTCCAAAACAATCTTATGGTTAACATAATAAGGTCTTCTTCAGTTTGTCATATTCTCTTTTTCATACGTTCCTTTAATCAAGTGTATACGGTTATAAGTAATAGTACAATAGGTATAATAACAATTGGAGGATAGAGATAGTAAATATAGCGTGATTGCTAGCATTATATCTTGTCAGGACGACCCCCACGCGGTTCCCCCTGGAAACTATCGTGATTAATTCTTGTCAAATTCAGAGGCATCTAAGAAAGGACGACGAATGGGTAGCGTTCCTCTTAAAACATCTATAAAGCCTAACTATG